CCGATCATTTAACTTGTAGGTCATTTGGAAATACAGTTGATGTGCTTAAGTCCCTGTTATTTTATTTTCTACAAGTATCATCATAATTTAGGAAAAATACCAGGTACTGTTATATGACCAAAGGGCTCCACTTCGCATTGCTGATGTAAGACCACTACCTTAGTAAACCTGAAATGATAGAGAAGTGCCGGGAAGCAGGTCTACGTTTTTAAAGCACACATAATGTGAGGGCTTTTCAGTTCAACTGCTGTGTTTCACCAGAGATAAACAACAAAATACTCCTTCATTTAGCTGATTTAAGAAGTTGTTGGTTGTTGTTTTGGTTTTTGTGTTGTTTCTTGTTGTTTGTTTGTTTTTTAAATAAAAGTAACTATTGATGTAACGAGAAGAGACTGAGAGAGAGCATAAGCTGGAATTCTTGCAAACACAACATAAAAAGAGTTAATCTAGCCATCATCCTGATGCTTGGACAGGCTGGACTATGACAATACACAGGGGACAATTGCCACGGCTCAGCTGATACGCTGTAATTCACTAAGGTGCAATAATGCAATTTCTTTCAAATATGTGCACTGAACAGGAGTGTCAGGATTAGGTCACTGAGGTTACAGAAACCTTGCCTTTCTTTGGGATGCAATAGTGTCTTTTTTCTTTATGCTTATTCTTTGTTATGCAGTCTTCATCTTTATAGGGAAGCTTATTCTAAATGCACTTCACAGATCGTAAGACCAATCCTTCTTTTTAATTCAACAGCAAAACTCCCTCCAATACCAACTGAACCCTAGATACAAACAATTGGTCATTCATCCATAACTGAACTACATCTAGGGTGAAACAGAGCAGCTATTTTGCAGTTAATGTTACTGTTACAGACTGATCTATGGATGGAAATGCACAACTGAAAGCACAGGGGAATTTTAGGTAGATGGAAAATAATCATACTGACTAAAATCTGGCAAACTCCCTAGAGGTAATTCCTTTATTCATACGAAAAATGCACAAGATTGTTTACAATTGTTCAGGATCTCAATTACATATGCCACCCAAAAGACATGTCCAAGAGCTGACTGCTCTAATCCATGCTGCTGAATAAATAATGCTGCTATACACATTTTTCACTATTTAAGTGAACAGGGAACTACAAATACAAGGGCTGCATGGTTGGAGTTTTGTGGTACAGTTTCAGCCTGTATCACTACTGGCTAGGCTGCAAACTGTGATACCATCATACACACTTGTTTTACAGGTTTAGGTATGTCTGCATTTCAAGATGTAAAGATGAGCCTGTAAATCAGAACAGAGGACTTGGAAATTACAGACAATCCCTGTTCTCACCGTTTCGAGCTGTCAAGTATTTGAGATCAATGCTTTGACTTTGGCTCTTCATTTGTCAGCAAGAGATCAATAGAAAGGCATACCTTCTATTTCAATAAATATTATTGCTTAACTGTACCAAAACAACACACAAATTCTATAACAGTACTTCCACTACATCCATTACTCTGCTGTCAAATGCATGCCAAATTTCTTTTTGGATTACTGAACAAAAGACATTTTTTGGTTTTGGTTTTTTTTTTAACCTAAAAGGTTGAAACCAGTATCAATGCTTGCTTTTGATCTCAGTGAGGTTGCAGAAGGCAGGAAATCTAATGTTGTCATGTTAGAATTGCTGTTAGTAGGAGATTGAGTTCATCAAACCAGAATTTTTATTTACAGCAGAATCAACTGTTTTATTACAGTAGTACTCAGAATTCAGGAACTGCATTTTACAGTCCAAAATTAAAGATGCTTCTTTAAAACTCTAGTCAACAACTTCAAAATCAGTATAATTCTGATGTTTCCTCAAATGATTTCAGATTTTACAAAGCGATAAATTGGATAATCAAACGAACAACTGAAGCAGTTAAACCTGGAGTATTTCATTCATTGTTTGAGTTTAACTGGGCAGAAGCTACTGTTTCATAGGTCATTACTTAACGTAAATACCTCTCTCCCAACAATGGCAAATTCTTATTTGCCAACGAGTACTTCATTAACTTTTCTTTTTGTTGGATGAATGCACTTAGGTTACTAATAACAGTCAACTGTCATGTGAGATGAAGTAAAACCTATATTGAAGAATTGTACTTTATTTATCAAATGTCAGATTTCTAGGACTTTTTTTTTCTTATGCACGTGAGAGGAACATAAACATTAACATATTTGAGTATTACAGTATTTACAGACTAATCCAGATAATTATTTCCACAACATGAACAATACACTTATTTTCACATTGCTAGAATATGGTAGAACTTTTCTAAATGCTAGACAGTGTTTCAAATTCCACAATGGCACAGCCATTCTTTAATAACTTGCTACTAGCTGCCCAACTTTTTAGAAACAGTTTTTGCTGGCTAGTATTTTATAATGTTTTCATGTTCCAGTCAAATAATCTATGATGCAATATATTAAACGTAACACAATAGCACTGACAGTTTTGTAATTGAAATCGGTGTTAACTAATCAAGCGAATACTCCTTTTTTAATGTGAAATTAAAAATCTGTTCCATTTTGCTTCTGAATCACAGGCTACTACTGTATATTTATAAGCTCCAGCAAAAGTCATAAGAATACCGTAAGAAAAATAACCTTTCTATCAAAGAATGGGTAATTTTAATTATTTTTTTAATATAAATCTTTCGTGTTACACTGTTCTGTGACTTAAAAGCCAAACAAATATGAAATGCTTGTAATGAGCCAATTCTCTTAAGTCAAAGTTAAAATATTCCTGTACACTCTCAAATAGCTCTGTTGTGACTGAGGACTTCATATTGCATTTTCAAACACAAAAATCTGAACAGATACTACTGACCTCATGAAATGCCTGGAAGTTAGCAGTTGAGTACATTTTGCAGAATAAATCCTATATCCTTAAGATACTCTCTATTCACCAAATATATTCATTAATATGACATGTAAATGTCTAAAAGTTAGATGGGTCATTATTAGCACTCTGGAATACATAAGCAATATATGAATTAATTGTTTAATCATATTGAGTCGCCTGTGGCACCAAGAAAAAGAAAAGCTAGATGTCAGTATTTCAAACTGTCAGTTGAAATGAGTCCCAGATGTTAAAACATTAGGCAACCTAAAAATCAATTAACTTCATTTTAAACAAAATCTTTTCCAAGGCAAGCTTTAATCTAGCGACTCAATCTTCCCCTTCTCCTCCCTGGCGCAAATGAATATGAAAAATGCCCCTATTAAATATGGGCAGTGACTGAACTAGGCAAATAGTATGTAGAACTGATGTAATGTAAAGATTTACATGTCTTCTGCCATTAGAACTCACTGGTTTTGATTCAGATCTTAATGGTTTTAAAGACAATACCAAAAAATAGCTATAGAGTAAAAATGTCCAGTTTTGTTTTTCTCTGAGAAAACAAGTACCTGTTTGTCACTGTGCAGAATTCTAAAATGGAAGAAAGCTTAGGTTGTTATTATTTTGCTTAAAACAATGGAAAATAGCTATTTTACATAGGAACTTAAGCTAATACAGCCCGCCTACTTTCTAAAAATATGAGTAGTGCTAAATCCAAAGAGGACTTTTTAAAGACATTTTATGAAACTTAATTTAACAATGAGTAATTTATATCACAAACATCTGCCATTGTTTTCAGTACAGCACTGATCACAACAGTTGTCTATATTTTCAATGAACAAATTCTATAGAATATAGAAAGGCTTAGCCCCAGGAAACATCAAGAAATATCAGAGGAGAGATTAACTGCTAAGGGACATTCACATGACTGTTATACATTTAAGAAGGGAAGAGATTACATACCCCTCTCCACCAATTCTTGTTATCTTTAGACGAAAATCAACAGAGTTCAGGCTGGGTGGCTTCCATTTCAAAATATCATCACATCGACCAGGCTTGTATTTCTGAAGAAAATTAAAAAGCAGTTTAATTATGCTTATTGGTTTTCACTGGTTTTAAAAGTAACAATTCAGCATTTCAGACTATATTAGCTGTCTCCAATGAATTACAATACTTAGTGATTGAAACAATGAATTCCATTACCATGGAAGTAGCTGTGCTTCACTACTTTATTTGCTGCTCCCTTTTAAAACTGCTGTAGCCAAGCCATTGCATAAAATAAAAAGCTAAGCATGAAAATAAAAATCAGTATACTTCATTATCTCTCTGTGTCTAATGGAAAATAAAACAGCAGAGAAACAAATGAAAACACTGATAGGGCATACATAAAAGATACATTTAAAACAATGTCAACATTTTTGAACAATTTTATGAACGATATTTTTGTTATCCGTGCTGTTGGCTGACACAACATGAAAAAGCCAACAGTCACCATACTGCCAACTATCAGAAAGGCCCATCAGAAATATGTTCTTTCGTACCAAGGGAATTTAAGTTATGTAGAGATTAAGGAACATCGTGACATACAGGAACATAAATAAAGGAACATCTGTTGCTTAAGAGAAAGGGTGCACGCTTGAGCCAAAAGTTGCAAGGAGCCATTTTCTCTTAAATTAGAGCTTTGGTTTCTCATGGTCTCTTTTATCATCTGCTTCAGTTTACTAAGCTGCCATTTTTGTTCATCCTCAACTAATAGTGAGAGCCAACCTGATAACCCTTTCCTTACTAGAATATCTTTTATGGTAATGGAGAAAATCAAAATTAACATGAAGAGGGGAAAAGTAAAAGAATAATTTGGGGATGCACAGAATGAGAATTTTTAGTTGTTAGATATTTATTAATTCACAATGAGAAAATATGTGCAATTTTACCTAAAAAAATCCCAAGAATGTCCAGTATCTTTTTAACAAAGCAATCACTAGCATCATATTACACTCATGCTGTGTTAAATATTTGCAAAATGCAAAATTCACTGATGATAAACCTAACAGTTCTAGATCTAAAGTGACAAAAGCAGATGAAGAATTTTCTGTTTTCTGATGTAACAATGGAAAGTTATTCTCTCCAAAATAAATGCAGGACATCTTGCTTATCATTTCTTGATGAAAAGACGGTGTGTGACTTCTGCTGGACAGTAAGTAAAGGCAACCTGGCCTAGTGGAAGTTGTCCCTGCCCATGGCCGGGGTGTTGGTACTACATGATATTTAAGGTCCCTTCAAACCCAAACCATTCAATCATTCCATGACAGCATTCCTTTAAAGAGAAGATAAAGAGAAGCTAATAGGCTTCAGCACAGAGGAAGTCTTCTCTTTTGCACAGAAATACCAGTCTCAATCAAAAAACACCCCATATTTTGTGTTCAAAAGGTAAATTTGTACTGCTTCTGCATTCACAAGTATTTAATATTTCCTCGAGACCATAAAGAGGAGCCTTACTTTCTGGAGGAACAGGTAACAGGATTGAAACAGACCCCATCTTGAAAACTAAAACCCAAGATTTCTTCTGAGCAGTGTGAGGAAATCCAAAGGCCTCTAAGGAAGGACCAAAGGCTTTCAGGATTGCAAACTCTGTCCTATTTCAATTTACTTCTGCCTGGAACATAAACCCTGAAAACGCTACATACTCCTTTAGAGAACGAATTCTTATTGACACGAAAAGAATGAACCAACCTCTCTGAGTCACGGCACTGAAATCCTGAGGAAGAGCTGCATCTGATCTATATAACAACCTAAGAATGGCCTCTCTAGCAACAGCCAACAGCATGTGCTCAGGGAAGGTGAAAAACGGGGTAATCATACATGTTATTTTCCACTACTACTCTCTGAGAGACTATCCATTTTCAAGCTCAGAGACTTTCTGACACAGATGTGATTCAAATGTGATTCCTACGTATTTAGCTATTTTCAGTTTCCCCTGCATGAGCTCGTGTTGCTCCCCAGTAAGACCACATAAACCTTGACCAGCTGTAAAAGCCCATTCACACACACATTGACTACACTGCAAGAAAAAACACCATATTTTGTTTATTTTGAACCAGCCTTTGTGGGTTTCTGAGACTTGCACTCCCTAGGGCTCATAGTAAGAGAGATGCTGAAGAATCAAACCCCATTGCTTCTATGCTACTCATAGTTTCACATGCTTCTGTATGCATGGAAATACACTCAACTCCGAGGCTATCACTTTACATGTGCAGTTACAACTTTTTTCTACACAGACATTACTTTTATCTACATAGAAATTTATGAGCTATTTTATCATTCGGCCACCACTCTTGTAAGGGCTTACTATAATTCCCCACATTTAGCACCAGCCCTTGCTGATCCAGCAAGAAAATTTCACTTTACAGTTCATCCCATTTTCCAACTTGCTTATGCATAGTACAGGTGACTCCCCTCCCTGGTGAGGATCGAACAGTACCCCATCGCTTGACTCCTACTTTTTAACCAATTACTTATCTGTGCAAGAACCTTTTCTTTTAAGTCTCACACCTGCTTTAGTTTCTGCAAGAGTTTTTTGTTACAAACTTTGACAGAGGCTTTCTTGAAGTCTTAGTGGGGAATATCATACGATCCTAGTCAAATGATTTTCTGATCTCTTGACTGGAGAGGCATAACCTTCCTTTCAAAAAGGCATGTAATTTTCCCCAGTTATATCATGTTTATCCAGGTATGAACTACTGTATTCTTTATTATGGTTTCTGGTCCTTTGTCCAGTACAGACATCAAGCTTACAAGCCTTACTTCTTCCCTGATCTTGCACGACACCTGCCCCCACCCTCAGCTTTTTTAATTGGCATTGTATTTTCTACCCTCACATGCTTAGACACCAATGTATATATTCCATGTAGGATCTACTATAGGATTTTTTCAAACTCGTTTTCCAAGACTGACAAGTTACACCCTACTAGAAGTCAATAAGAAACCAACTTCGCAAGAGACAGGAACAACTATTCCAAGATCAGTGATGAAAAGCAATGTTT